TATGCAGGAAGCCGACACTGCAGGCTGGAGAATTCTCACTTGCCAGCTGACATATCACACACAGCGAGATTTGACTGGCACGTAAACTGGTGAACCCCAGGAAATATGCCAGGGGAACACAGCCTGCAGCAACAACTCGTAGGCAGCAGCGAAATTGCAAGACCTCGGGAACAGAAAGACACCCACAATAGTTAAAGAACTCACTAGCCAGGCAAACCTCAGCAAGGACCCACTGGCCGCGTGAACCCGCAAGACCGTGAGCAATGTGCCAGGGGAACAGCCGGCTGCAAAACCCTAGGCGAACGCCAGGTGTGCAATCCGCAAGACCAGGCACCAGCAGCTAGAGCCACAGCAGCTTCCGATCTTTTTAAAAAAAGTAATTTATGTATCCTTTTTTCTGGATAACAACCTGCAGTTATTTGTTAACATTTTTTAACAAGTCTCAGACACGGCTCCTGAGCTATCCCAGCCGAATCTCAAACTCCAACCCACAGATTTTCAAAGGGATTTAAGGCTAGTCCAGGCCAGTTAATAATGTTCATGTTGGTTGTCTGGGGGTAGTTCTTCAAAATGCATGTTTAGGTTTCACTCTTATAGTCCACTGGAGCACAAATTGAGTGTCATCTTTATGCTACAATACACACCATCCTAGTCTGACCCTCAGGCCAGGGTTCCATTCCTCAACTGTCGTGGCCATCTGCAAGCCATCAAACAGCATTCAGCCGTCCGCTACCCCACGGTGGTAACTTGGCTCTTGTACCTTGTGTCTCCTTGTGTTCTCCGCTAACCAATCTAGGATCGTTACTCACCTCACCTGCAGCTGCTTCCTGAATGCTGGATTTCCCTCTCTACTCACCTCAAAAGGCTTCGCTGGCTCTACTCACACACCTCCTCATTCCTGCCCTCCAGCCTGTCTCTCACATATGGATGATGCAAATGGTTGGATTACCCTCCCTGCATGAAACACTCACACGGCTATTAGGGTATTAAAAAGTACAGGGTGGGCCATTTATATGGATACACCGTAATAAAATTGGAATGGTTGGTGATATTAAAGTTCCCCCTCACATATACTCATGTGCCACAAACAGGACTTTAATATCACCAACCATTCCCATTTTATTACGGTGTATCCATATAAATGGCCCACCCTGTAGAATGATTGGTAGAGCCTTCAGGCCCCTCTTGCGTGAAACCAGTTTGGATTCAGGAGACATTCATTCTTTCTAATGTTAAGATTAGGCTTAAAACTTCCCTTTTTTATAAAGCTGGGCTGGATCAGGTGACTGAGAATCCTCCCTTAATTACACTGCAACAGGTTGCTGGGGGATTCCCAGATTGCGTGTTTCTTCTTTTTTTTTTTTTTTGCCTGTCCCGTTTGGCTCTTTTGCCATCAGAATTATTGTCTAAAGGCAAAGAAAGATGCCCAACGGATTTACTTTACCAAATTGACCATCCCAGCCTTGCCATAATGGTCCATTTGATTCACCTTTTATTGTTTATTTTATTTTCACTTGCTGAATACGGGACAGACTTGACTGGGGGAAAGAAGGGGAGAAAGAAAGAGTGAAAGAGAAACAGCTGAGAAGAGGGATGGGGGAGAAGGGCAAAAAACAAAAACCAACAGAATGGGCAGAAATAAAATGCATATATCGATCACCTGGATCACCTGTTGAGAAAGAAAAAAAGAAAACAAGCAGAAGAGAACAAGAGTAATAGAATAAACAACATCACAATGATATATGGGAATATGACAGTAAATACTAAATATTAAACATTATTGTGCAGGACATAAGATCAACAGAACACAGTGTGCTTTGAGGTAGGAGCCAAAAAGGGTGTAGTTTGTGGGTGTGATCACCCGTGTGTACACCTGTGAGCATGGACGCGCTTGTTTTTTTAAAAGGTTCCTTCATGTAATGATCTGCTAGAGGGTGTGGGGGGGCCACAGCCCCATCCTCCAGGGCATGAAGCAGGTATGGAGGAGATCAAAACTCCAGACATCCAGAGGCCCCCAGAACACGAGAGACCAAGGAAGACTAACAGAGGGGCAGCCGCGCCACTGTTCCAGAAAGAGCTGAGGACAGTCCCAGATGAGGGCTCACTCAGCAGCCGCGCTGTGACGCCCGTGAGCTCTGCCGGCAGCCAACTGTGCCTGAGTGACCGAGCCCCAGGCCGAGAGGCTGGGGCCACCCCACCTCCGAAGTGGCCCGAGCGAGCCCCAGGCTCCAGGCCCCGATAAGCGGCTGCCAAGGAGTGAGCCGGTGTGTACCTGGACGCCCATCCCCGGACACAAAGAACCACCAACGCACCGATGTCTGAGGGAGTCCGCCACTGGCAGGGGAAGTGGTGGTGGGGGGAGATAGGCCTCCAAACCTTGGAGGGCCTGAGATGTCCCCAGAGAGGTGGTGTCTGATACCCAACCTGACATATAGACACAGACATACAGGCACACACATATACAAACATCCATTCCCACCCTCATGCTCTCATATGCACTTACTCCACACTCAACCAACGTGGAGACAGACATAAAGAGACGCTGTACACACGATCAAACTCCCCAAGCGTACTCTACGAACCGGGTCTAGGTACCCTTGTCCCTGGAGGGGGGAACTGCACCCAGACCCAGGTGGTGTTACCCTTTTCCCTGCGGTGGGGAGAGGCAGACCGCCCCGACTCCGCAGCAGCAGGGAGGCCCCACACTCCAGACTGCAGTCGGACGGCCAACTCCTCCTCCTAGCCCCCCCACTCCAGCAGACCGCAGAGAATGGGGGTGAGAGAAGACTCCAAACCTCCCTCCACCCGCTCATTGTAGTGTTGATGCATGTGTGTTCTAAGGTGCATTTAAAACCCAGGAGGGCATGGAGCTACCTGCCAGAGAGCAGCAGGTAAGCGCATAGTCCCTCCTGCTAGTTTGCGTGTTTCTTCTTAACTCACCTTTTTGTCCACTAACTATGTGTACACCATTCTGCATTTAACCACTCTGCATTTAATCTTTAGTTAGTATTAATCTCTTCTGATTGTAGAAGATGGCTTTTCCCTAGGGATTAATAAAATATTCTGATTCTGATTATTCTGATGGCTGCCCCTCTCTCAGTCTGGTTCTGCTGGAGGTTTCTTCTTGTTAAAAGTGAGTTTTTCCTTCCCACTGTCACCAAGTGCTTGCTCAAAGGGGGTCATATGATTTTTGGGGTTTTCTACAATAACATAGTTTTTAGTGTATTTTTGTAGAGTTACAGTGTACCTTACAGTGTAAAGCATCTTGAGGTGTCTTTTGTTATGATTTGGTGCTATATGAACTGAACCACTGAACTGAATTAAATTCAGCTGTGTCAGAAAACATCCTAAGGATGTACAGTTAAACCAGAATTCATAATGTTTCTTTAGTAAAGATCTGTATATACTGTGGAATGCTCCTTCCCCACAAAAAAAGCTGTTGAACAGTTTCACTGATATCACAGGGTAGAATACTTTGAATCCACAGCAAATGTTTCACTTTTTCTTATAACACTTTGAAGCCTTCTCTTCTGCATTCAGGATGTTTTTAATGTTATGTAGCATTTTCAGGCTTTGCTTGGTATCATAACATCCACAAAGTGTGACAAATAAATTTGAAAAAAGACACACCTATTAATTTAAAATAAATAATTTTATACAAACACTATCTGTGGAATTCTCAGCTCTAGTTTGAATAACGGCTGCTGATTTGACGATTTCAAATATGTACTTGTATATAGTACATTCTTGCAGTACATCCCTACGAATGCAGCTCATGTAATGCAACAGTTCTACTTTACTCGAAATACCATTTATCTCTCAAAAGACAAGTTTTCTCTCAGGATTTGTCTCAGGAGATTCAGTAGAACACGATGTCTGCAAGAGACTTTCAGGGCTCTAAGAAACAATAGACTTTTCTGATTTGTCTGCTTGGTCAAACAATAAGAGCTGATCACCCGTAAAATTGCGCCTATTATTGTATCATATAGTTGATCAATTAGACAATTAATTCTATGTGTGAATGTATCTATGTATGGACTGAAACTTTAATTCTAATTTTTTTTTAAATGTAGTTTTAATTATAAAGAATATATTAAAAACACAACCATATGTAGTCATTTTTTCATCAAAATAAATAGGGGTAAATAAATAGAAAAGAATAGAATAGAATAGAGTGCCTTTATTGCCACTTTACAGCTGTACAGTGAGATACAGAGCATCTCCAACTCAGTGAATAATAATATATTATATAATAATATAATATAATATTGATTATCATTATCTCCTCACATTCAGCACTGGGTGTATTGAATTTAACACATTTATAATTTTTTGATCTGAATTAAAATTGATTAATATAAATCCTGTTGAGCTTTTTGTGAATGCTTCACTTAGAATCTTACACAATTTTTTGTATTTCCTTTTTTTAAGCTTTTCAGGGTTTTTTTTTAAAAATTATTATTATCATCATTCAGAGGACAGACACTGCTTCACAATTTTATTTCTTTTTTCAAACTTTTAGAAAGACGTGATCAGAAAATGAGACATGGAAAACACTTTCACCTTAAAGACTAAAAGTGTCAAACCTTGAGGACTAGCTTGTGTTGCTGCTTTTGGCTCAAACTGCTTTAAGCTTCTTTTTTCCCAGCTGTAAATAAAAGGAAAGAGTGAGCACAGCACACGTCAATGCCTGCAGCTGTTCATTATAGAGTAGTTGCACTGGCTTGCAGTAGCCTGTATTTGACAGGTGCTGGTGTTTTGTGTCCATCCAGTGTGACGTACAGGCGGATGTGCGGGTGTGGAGGATGTGCTAAGTCTGTGTTAAGGCCTGCATTTTCAGTGTGAGTGTATCGTGTGTTTGGTATGTGTGTGTGTACGTTTGTGCGTTCTTCGTTCTCATTGGCTGCTGAAACTTGTTGGAGCCTTTTCCCCTCAAATAAGAGAAAGCGCCAAGAACCTATTGGTTCTCGCGAAAAATCGTCCATTCTCCAGTCCGCCTGGTCCGGACTTCTCCGGGAGAAAATAAACTGATGTCAGACAGAACAACTGTATACTGCGAGCACATTAGCATTTTAAGGACTCCGCTCCACAGCAGTCCCGTGTGCCTGAATGCTGTGGGCTCACATTTTAACATCCAACCGCCGTTTTCGTTTGTTTGCTTGTTTGTTTGATTTTTACTCCACGCTGGATCTGACTGCCACTTTTTATCCTCAGAACGCGTGTGACCAACAAATCAACTCTTGAATCGGACATCTAACGTGTCCATCTTTTTTCTTTTTTCTCTTGTCTTTTTTTCTTTTCTTTTCTGTTGTTTTTAATGCTACAATGTCGTCTTTGCCAGGAACGGTACCACGAATGATGCGCCCGGCTCCCGGACAGAACTATCCCCGCACTGGATTCCCTCTGGAAGGTAGGAGCTTGACAGTAGCCCTGAACAACCTCTCAGACTCCGGTAGATTTTTTGCGGAGGCTAAAAAAAATGCGAGCCTAATTTGAAGATTATTCAAACAAATATTCTGCATTAAACATTAAAGGCACGTGAGAAGACCTTCAGCGTGCTTAACAGTTAAGGCCTCAACTCCAGGGTAAACTTTGTGTGCAAGGACTGGCACTGAACACAATTGCATGAATAAAGGCAAGTGCCCCCCCCCCCCCCGCCCACAACCCCCCCCCAAAAAAGCTCACGTTGCATTATTCTTATGCTAATACAATTTCCGTTGTATTATTCTTATGCTAAATATTAAAGGCCCCGGTCACAAGCACACTTAATCATCCAGTGACCACTTTGTCAGCGAATTGAAAACGACTAGAAATTCCAGAGAAAACAGAGACAGTCTCTACAGCACTTGGGTTGCTTCAAGTTCCGCGCGCCTGGAAATTGGCACCCACCGGCAGAAGCAGAGGATCAGTCCAATATTTGGACAGCGTGACGGCGAACAGTGAAACGTGGCAGCAGGTGCTCTTCACCTCCTCTGCTTGGCATGTGGAACTGTGAAGTGTTAGCCCTTAATGGCGATCAAATGAGATTTGAAAACAATTGACACGTGGTACTGTCAGTGAATACTGGCAGGGAATAGCTGAAAGAACACCGGGCTCGCATTAGGTGTGATTGATAAGAAAAATAGCCTGTCATCAAACTGGATTATTTAATAACAGACAACAGTCTGCGCTTAAAGCCGCTCTGTACCGAATCTGGCCTTGTGTCATCCACAGTATCTACTCCTCTGGGCCAGGGACGGGTCAACCAGCTAGGGGGGGTCTTCATTAACGGCCGACCGTTGCCCAACCATATCCGACACAAGATAGTCGAGATGGCCCACCACGGGATCCGGCCCTGCGTCATTTCGCGCCAACTTCGTGTCTCCCACGGCTGCGTGTCCAAGATCCTCTGTCGCTACCAAGAGACCGGGTCCATCCGACCCGGCGCCATAGGTGGCAGCAAACCCCGGGTGAGAGAAACGATCTAAAGGACAACACGGATAATTGTCTGTCAATACCACTAGGCTAAATGATAAGTTAGTAATCTGTAGATTATCTGTAGGCTTCCACAGCCTTGTTATAGTTTATATTTCCACCTGCTTTCTAAAAAGTCACTCGAAAGATTTCGGGGCCTGTAGCCTGTGGCTCAGCTCACTCTCCTTGTTTCTGTGTGGCTCACGGCAACCTGCAGCAGGTAGCCACGCCGGATGTAGAGAGAAGGATTGAAGAGTACAAGCGGGACAACCCTGGCATGTTCAGCTGGGAGATCCGGGATAAGCTACTGAAGGACGGGGTGTGTGACAGAAGCACAGTCCCTTCAGGTGAGGCCTCCTCTGGTAAGCGGCGTTTAATTCACAGTTTTACTCTCTGAATTTTGCCCTCCGCGAAGAATACATAAAAACAGACTTTCAAATCAAGGAAGTTATCACGAAAAAGATATTATTATTATTATTAATATTATTATTATTGTTGTTGTTGTTGTTGTTGCTATCGTTGTAAATGGTAATATGGTAATAACAAAAATAATAACAGTACAATATAATAAAATAATAATGATATAATAATAGAATAACAGTGAATTTAATATAAAAACATTCTTCTTCTTCTTCTTCTTCTTCTTCTTCTTCTTCTTATTATTATTATTATTATTATTATTATTATTATTATTATTATTATTATTATTATTATTATTATGTTATTGCTAAAGATGCCTTTCTGCTCGCAGTGAGTTCGATCAGCCGTGTACTTCGCGCTCGTTTTGGGAAAAAGGAAGATGAGGATGAGTGCGATAAAAAGGAAGAGGACGGAGAAAAGAAAACGAAACACAGCATCGACGGCATCCTCGGGGACAAAGGTAGGCCCCGGGAGGACTAGCGGCTAACTGTCTGCTAATCAGGTCTAAACGGGCGTTTTGCCCCATGACTTCTCCCGCCTGGAGCCGCTTAAATATTCATGGTGAGCGCTGGCGCGGGCTCCCGTCACGCTAAACGGTGACAAATGTCCATACCGATCACAGGCGACAGGAGCCAGGCCGTCAGCTCCGTGTGTGGATACCAATTTCAAGCAGAATTTTCCTCTGAAATGACATTTAGCCTACAAACAAACAAACGCTAAATAAATACATGAACCTAGCCAAAAATGGCACAATTACATATATGCATGTATTAAATTCACAACTTTTAAAATGAAAAGGCATAGTAAATATATCGTTATAGTACGATTTTAATGGAAGGTGTTAAATATCCCCTCTTCATATTTCTTTCATATAGACACGTATACATGGCGGTTGGAAGCTTTTGTTTAGTTCATTTTTATTAAAGTGACGTCGATGCAGCATGTTTGAATGTAGCGTGTGGACGGCCGTCTGTTCTTTAAACTTGAGGCCTGCAGCGGGCCCAGTGCTTTCTGACCACTGGTTTCACTGGTGATTTTTTTTTTTCAAACAGCTATCAAGTCTCCCCCTTTCCACATTCTTCAAAAGATCAGCCCAGCTAGTGTCTCTGTGTCATCCGAGCTTGGCATTTCATAATTTGAAGACTTAGCCTATTACAGCTGGTAATGAAACCTGCCTCTGTTGAATAGGCGTCTGTGTTGGAGAGGGGTGTAATAGCTGGAAGGCATGGTAAGAAATATATTTATCCCCTATCAGCCCTCACTCTCACAGTCCCAGGCACATGCTGTTGAAGGGCCTTAAAGCAGATTAAATTGAGCCTTTTATTTCTTTTCACTTTCATCTCTCAGTGGCTCACTTCATGGTGTGAAGCCTGCAGCATAAATTCATGAGATTGTAAGCTTTCCGCTCCCCTTGTTTAGATAGTATTTTTTAAAATATATATATATAATTATTTTAATTTTAATGTTTACTTTTGGTGGTGTGCTGTACATATTTCAGCAGGAGTCAGAGGGAATTTTAGGTTGAATGGAAGAGGCAGTAGTGATTAAGACAAACTCATTGAAGGGTACTGTTTACCAGTTTTATTTGATCAATTATATGAGATGATTTTTTTATTTACATGATATGTGAGCACTGATTACAGCAAGCTAAAAACGCCATAAAATGAGAAAGCCTAATTTGAAATAACCTTTAAAAGTAACACACACACACGAACACGTGATAGTCTGACATTTACATATAACTGATATATGACAAACTTACTGTTAATCTTCAGTTAGGATCATTGTTTACGTTTGCTAAATGTACATATCAAAGCTTCAAAGTAATGGCCTTGGTTCTGTAAATTACTGTCACGTTGTAGAAAACACTGAAAATGCTTCTTGGAGGTGACTGGAATCCAGTTAAACAGCTGTCCAGGCTGTCTTTCTACAGTTTATAGCTATTTAGTGCGTATGCTGTGTCTTAAAGATATAAATAAGCATTATGTAGAAAAAAACCCTCTAGAGTCCAGCCTGGTTGAAAGAAAAAAGGTACACAGTGAGGATAGAGAAAGCACTTCAAACAAATCCAGTGGAGGTGACGGGAAGCTTCTTTGCAGAGAGCACGGTCTGTGGGAAGTTGCAGCTATTAATAACAATTTCCCCGGGCATTCACACTTACTCTACTCCACCTTCACTTTCCTCCAGCTATTTTACCTGGGTTGAAATTGAGGGAGACTTAAATGCTGTCTGCAGATAACACAATCATCACAGCCACGGTCCTGGGCTGTGCATCACTGTATTAAACTGGGATTAACCTCTCTTTTCTCCCCTGCTGTTGTGCACCAAAATTCACATTTTTAACAACTGTGTTACAAAATGTAAAGGGGATTGGAAGTCAGTGGAAGTGTATCAGCAGTAATGAGTAGTGAGTCAAAATCATCATGACAGTGATGTGTCACAGTCATTCGTGGGGTAAAAATTCAAAAATGCTGCTGGCATTTGCGTCAGTGTGAGGATCTGCTGCTTTTCTGTCTTTGACCTGTGGTAATAGTTGGCATGCTTAAATATAGCATTTTGAAGGCATCATCCCACACAGCAAAATCTCCAGTGTTAAATTAACACTGGAGAGTGTCTATATGGGTCCACACCTCTGAGTGTTAAATACAACACTGTTGAGTGTTAAATTAACACTTTTGACAGTGTTATATGTTTAAAAGTAACCGAGTCAGTTTTGAAGATTAACAAAGTCTAACACTGAGCAGTGCTGATTTTTTAACACTGGAATATTTCTAACATTTTGAGTTATTTTCCAGTGTTAGAAAATCAGCACTGCTCAGTGTTAGACTTTGTTAATCTTCAAAACTGACTCGGTTACTTTTAAACATATAACACTGTCAAAAGTGTTAATTTAACACTCAACAGTGTTGTATTTAACACTCAGAGGTGTAGACCCATATATACACTCTCTAGTGTTAATTCAACACTGGAGATTTTGCTGTGCAGAGTGCACATGTAATTTATTTCATTTTAATTAAACAAAGAATTGTAAATATTACAATGAACATATAAAAAGTGTATTGAATTTTAAATATAAAACTAAAGGTTTCCAAACATCAGAAATAAATCCCATCACACTGATTCCAAATCTTTGTGGAGATAATATTTGTTGTCTTACGTAATGATCTAGATTACATCAAAGCATTACCACCGATCAGATGTATAGTTTATAATGATGTACTGTAAATAAAATTTTGTAAGATCCTTGATGAAATTTTGTTCACGGCATATGAATATAAAATGTATTTTAATATAGTATGTTACATTAACACTTTATTGTACTGATATAAGAAGTGATATAAAAATCCAATATAACCAAAAGTCTTAATTTTTATAGCGAGTGATAAAATAAATTAATCACTAGTGAAAATGTAAAAAATCAGTGATGTGAGACCATGATGTTATAAACATCATCACGTAGCCCTCGACTAAACATTCCTAGGATGCACTGATTTTATAGCAAATCATTCCTCTGAAGGACAAAAGAATGCACAGACTTAGGAATCAGCTAACACTGTCCCTAAAGCTTTGAAAAGAATCAACATATAGACATGCTAGTAGTCTGTGATTATGGATGCAGAGGTTGTTTTGCGTCATAACAGGGAAATTTTACTCCCTTACAAATGAGTTATAAGTATAAAAAAGGCACATATGTTCACAGAAGCTGGTTCCACTGTAATGCTGACTGTTGAAGCTGTGGTGGTATGCTGGCCTGAGGGAGACCTGAGGGCACGCTTCCTCTGCTCTGTTTCAGACTTTAACAGCAGAGGAAAAAGTAGGTGAGGAAGGTATGAAGCTGCTGGTGCAAAGTGAGGAGCTTAGAGGCTTTGATCCTCTGTTGCTTTTCATTATTTGTAGCATTTGTAGTGACACTGCCACAATGAGGGTTCATCACATTAGCTGAAGCCAACACTGCCTTCAGGCTTGCCTGTATAATAATTAAAGCCCATTTTCTATATGAGAGAGGATCTGTCCAGCCCTCTGTTTAGAGGGACGGCCTCTCTTCCTGGGATGTCTGAGTGAAATCATTGTGGTTATTTGGAAACAAATGACATCAAGTTTTCACATCTTGAATTAATAGCTGCTTTCCTTAAAACCAGAGATAAATATTTAACATACATTTTAAAATTACAGTTGTCTCCCTCTCTCTCACCATGTGAAATGAAGGGAATCATAGTTGGATGAGGTTGTGGAGGTGGGCAGGGACAGCATTAGATCCCTGTGGGGAAACTGGGTCATTGCAGACGCACAGAGGAACAGGATAAAGCACAGTAACACAAGACACACAGCAAAGAGGAAAAATCAGAAAGCAACATGGGAATGTTTTATTCGAATAGCCTTACTGTGTGAAAAGATCAAAACTGAAATATTTAAATCATATAAAAGACAGACATCAGAAAGTGAGTCAGTTAATGTAGAAATGTGTGACAGTAAGGTTTCAGATTAAAGCAGGTTCAGGGCTTGTTGTCAAGGATGAACAATGCTAAATATAAGTTGTTGCCCCAGGGAGAGCAGAGATTTCATTAGTGGCCGTTAGAGGTTTTTTAACAGTTGATAACAGAAGAAATAACTAAACAAGTTTGCATTTCCAGTTTTTGATAACATCTACTTTAAGCAAAATTTTCAGCAGTAAATCAGTAAAAGTTTCAGACTTCTCAGTTGTTTTAGTGATCATGTTTTCATTTACGTATGTGGAGGAATTTTCTGAGTTTTATTTTTCACATCCAATTTAAGGATTACATGTGAAAAGAAGACTGCAATTTGCAATAAAAGTGAAGACTATTTGTGGAGTGATTCACATGTGTTTTGGAGCATTGTATTGGTTGTTCAAATATGCCTTAAAAATAGGCACCGAGATATTTAACAAGAATATTTTCCACATAATTTGTTATGTTGCATATAATCAGTCTAATGCTCTGTATAACAGACGTTCAGATGTATCATGTGCCCAGAAATTAATTTTGTTTGTCGCAGCTTGCTTTGATGATGAATGATAATACTGAATTACTGCTGATGACAATGATAATGTGGATGAATCAAATTCAGTGACCAGCAGAAGGATCCACAGGTTCTACAGAACATCAGAGAAGAATACCTATTTTTACACCAGTTGATCTGCTAATATTTTCTTATTCCCATTTATGAGTATTGGTTCCATTTCTGTAGTCTCATCAAACAGAGACTGATTTCTTTCAGACATTTCAGTTACCACCAAGTTAGGTAGTTGATAAATTAATTTAATACTTTCAACATATGAAACATCTTAAAGGTTTACACCAAGAAAACATCACACTTGATTGTAATTGTTGGTACTTAGAGTGCAGCTAATTGTATGATTTCTTTTCCTTTTCAACAACTATAAGCATGTTTGCCGGCTTGACTTTCCTTTATTTCTGCAGAACTGGGGACTTCTCAATGTTG